TGTCGGAGTAACGCCGTGATGGTGGAATTTCCTGACTCGTGCGACTTTCGTTGATCCAGGAGGGAAACGTCCATTTCGCCGTAAAATCGTTTGAGAGCGGTTGCGTATGAATCGCCAAGTGCGTGTTCTTCCTTAAAGGGAAGACTAACAATGTATTTTCCGGAATCGGAATCGCGTCGCGTGTGCTGTTTATAATGGTTTTCAGCCGCGGATTCTTCGTCCGAAAACAGTTTCTTCGTGGGAGCTTCCTCGATCTCCCAGAATTTTTTAATTGTTTGATCGAGCGCGTGAGTGGATAAATTGCAGATGGTACCGTGAGGAAATCCGTCGTGCATTCTGCCAATGATTATCCACCCGAATTTTGTCTTTAATAAGGCGCCGGAATTGTTCGCGAGTGAAATTTTACCTGCTGAAATAAATTCGTGGTAAATTTCCGCGCCTATTATTAAATCAATTGGACCTGGTTTATGAAATCGTGGATCCGCGAGTTTGATAGTTTTCGGAATTTCGAGGTTTTTTCTGTTGATGTATCGAGCTGGTAAGATGTGGTTTAGAGAGTCTAACACTAGGCAATCTATGTTTATCGTGAAATCTGTACGTCGCGATTGTACCGTGATGGTTACAGATTCTGGTATCAGCTTCCTCATACTGTGTATACCCTGTACCGGCACGTTTACTTCTTTTCGATCGAGCTGCAACTTTTGAGCTAAAGGTTTACTCAGAAAGTGAGACTGCGAACCCGGATCGATCAAAGCTCTGCACGAATGTGTACGACCGAATTTGTCGGTGACGTCTACTATCGCGGTTGATAGTAGACCGTTTGCTGCTGTTTGCGCGGATAAGCTAGCTACGTTTGCCTGTGCGGTACTTGCACTGGGCCGCGAATCTTCTTGCAGCAACGTGTGATGTTTCGCGTTGCACTTCCTACACGTGCTCGAACGGCAGTCTTTGGCGATGTGATTTGGCCGTAGACAATTTGAGCATAATGTCGCGCCTTTTATTATGTCGCGTCGTTGCTCCGTTGTCGCGTTTTCGAGTTTTTTGCAAGAAGACGTGTAGTGTTCCTCCTTGCATATGTTGCATTGCGGAATCGAGCTTGCGGACGAGAGTCGCGATCGTTCGTGCGCGTCAGAGTCATTCCAACTCGTGCATTCGAAATCCCGTACGGTTTGATTGGTGGCGATGATTTCGAGTAGATACGCGAGTTTTGTCCCGACGGTAAGACTAGGCATCGTTGATCTTGTATAAAGTTGAACAGATCTGATAGCGTTAAGTTGCATTGTGCTTGAGTTTTTTCGCGCCATTTTAATTCGGTCACAGCGTCCATTTTAGTGGATAACAGATACAGTAAAATCGTGTCCGTGGTCAATTCACCACGAGCTTTGAGCGCTATCGTGTGCGATTCCGCGGTGATCAGATATTTTGTAAATTCATCGTAGGATGGCTTAAGACCCTTTGGCATTCCGAATAACGTATCTAAGTGTCGATTGATGATTATGTGTGGTTTGTCGTATCGTGACTCGAGGATGGACCACGCGATCGCGTAATTCGACGCCGCGGTTCCCAACGTTTCGATAGTTTTCACTGCCTCTCCGGTGAGGCACGATCGAAGATACGTTGGTTGCTTACTGTCGGTTAATTGCTTATTGTCGTGAACGGTAGCTTTAAATTGGTCGGCGAATCCAGGCCAATCTTCATATGTGCCGCTAAAGGTCGGAAGCTGTATTCTGGGCAGCTGAATTTCGTTCTCGTTGCGAGGGATCGATTGCGTTTTTGAATCGTTTTCGGTGTTTGACAACATAGCGCGTGGGGATGAAGCTTCCCCTTCGAGAATTAAGGTTCGCGATCTGGCAATTACTGACGAATAATTGTTCTCGATGTCACATCTGTCGTTTAAGTGATCCATGACGTTTTCCATTGCGTCTAATTCCGATTGAATTTCGATGTACGCGTCGAAAGAGGTTACGAGCCGTTCGGTTTTGAATTTCAATTCTTCTAAACTACTAGTGTCTGTATACGCGTCGAGAGCATTACGAAATCGTGTAATTTGAGCCTTGAAGGTAGAGCGTCTAGCCTTCAATCCCCTTAATAGTTCTGCGCGTTCAGTAGCCATTTTGAATTGATCGTCGCGTGGCAAGGAATCGAGAGAAATCGAGAAGGAAACGGTGATTCGCGAGACAAACAATGAGCGGACTTACTTGGATACTATTTGTCTGTTGGCTGCGTCGTCGAGAGTATGTTCCCTGGATGGTCGATGCCTTGGTGATCACCGTCCAGGTAGTTGCGGTCGCCGTGAAGTTCGCGGTTGAGGATAGTCCGGTCCTCCGTGTACGTAGATCTCGTTGGCTGGATCTACGTAGTCGTGTTGATTCCTCTGGCTCGTGGCTGGCGTGTGGATACCATATGATAGGCCGGTTTGCTCCTCGGGCGGAATCCGACGTCAATCAGCTGGATATCCGGCTCGAAGGACCAATTAATGTTGCGTGATGCGCCCTTTTTCCGACTCGGGTGTCGGAGTAACGCCGTGATGGTGGAATTTCCTGACTCGTACGACTTTCGTTGACCCACGAGGGAAACGTCCACTTCGCCGGGCAACTTAATCGGCCGGCGTCTTAATCAGTTCGCATACTACGAGCTTCAGAAAGAAGCTGATCGAGTCTGTACGAGAACGATCGAGTGTTTTTCCCGGTGTACGAGTTTTGATTTTGGTCAATTTACTACGAGTGTTGAAATTGTTCTTTTTACGGCGAGCGTTAAAAATGTTCTGTCTTTTCGGAGGACGATTCCTCCTGAGGGAAGCGCGATTTCCCTCTCTACGCTTCGAGGCTCCGACGGGGGTGAAGCACAAAATTTGACCTAATTGGACGACTTTGTCTCCACCCCATCAGAGATAGAAACGAAGGAAGGGGCACGCGTACCACCCTGCATTTCCGTGACTAACGCGAAGTGCTCGGTTTTCTCGATACTTTATGGCAGGGCCTGGCTGGTGTCTCGAGAGCTTAGCCCTAACGGCGCCATGCCACAAGTGCCGATACTTGAACGTTCGACGCTTCAAAGACTTCTATTATTTTCGCGCCGTATTACGACCGTCGAAGTCCTTGTCAAGGTTTACGTACCTTGCGTAAGAACTCCGACGGCGCATCCTTGGTGACATAGATGGGACCTACATCCACGATTGGAAGTAGGCCATCGAAAAGCTTTATTTTACGCATTCTTGGATTCCGGTGTTCCCTTTGGAACGTCGATGGACTAACATCTGCAACGCAGATGTATATTCATCGAGCATGTACGAGCAGGAATTTAAGTGGTGAGAATTATTATTATCTAGGAAAACTACAAGTGCGATGCATGATGGTATTCGTCCTTTGTTACGACGTAACAGAAATATTACAATTTTTTAATCCAGAATATAAAGGTGTGCTTGGTTCTTCAATACCTAACACGGTTGGTTTGTTACTCTGAAACGAAGCGAATGGACACCTATAACGTCGGCTAGGCGATAGTATTTCTTCGCGCCTTTCACATAACTTACTGCAGCGATAATCGTACTCTAATCGAGATTGATTCCGCAATGCATTCTGGACGTGGCGTCGAATTTCCGAACGACGATGGTGGGGGAAAATACAGATAATTAAATACTTCGACGATAATATAAATTCCTAAAAGTAAATGTGACCGACGAAATCTTACCATTTTTTGATACCGAATACAAATGTGTGCTATGTTATTCAAAGCTCAAACGGGTCCGGTTTTACTGTTAAACGAAGCGAATATACACATATAACGTCGCACATGGATATAGTAGTACTTCGCGAACTTCGCATATCATACTGGGACGATTCGTGTCCTCTAAATGGCGTACGGTTCTGCCTTGCATTCTGGTCACCGGCAACGAATTTTCGAAATACGATGTGGGGGAAAATACAGATAATTAAATATTTCGACTTTAGACATAATTGCATCAAATAAATAGACACAACCAAATCTGACCTTTTTTTGGTACCGAATACAAATTTCTGGTTTGTTTTTTCAATAGCTCAAACGTTTCCCGTGTTACTGTTAAACGATACGATTATACACCTATAACGTTGCACATAGTTAAAGTAGTTCTCCGCGAACTTCGCATATCATACTGGGACGATTCACTTTCCCTAAATGGCGTACGGTTCTGCTGTGCATTCTGAAATCCGCCGCCGATTTTTCGAAATACGCTGTGGGGGAAAATACAGATAATTAAATATTTCGAATTTAAGTATAATTCCTTCAACTAAATGTAACCAAGGAATTC